GTTTTCATGAGATGAAAATTATAATACTGGCCTTTTGCTGAGAATGGCAGGGAGTGTTCTCATAGAGAATAGGCCCCCTTGATGTTCGTCAGGTGAGTCAGGTAAGAGTTGACAGCACTTGTAATCATTTTCCTTTACTCTCACCCTGACACGGTCATTGTCTGTGGTGGCGATGTTAACAAAATGGACCTTACCCAATTGTAGCAATTATCTGGTTGGCACGCTCTTGCTAATTTTCTAACAAGGGGGAAATCGTGCTTAGATAACGTTTTAACCAATCGCAAAGACCTCTTTGGCAATTGCTATTCTTTGGATATGCTAATCAAGACTGACCATTCCGGGGTTATCTTGCCAGCGGGATCTAAAGTTAAATCTATTCGCCGCAAAGTTTTGATTCGGGATCGCCTCGCACATTGAAAGATTGCATTCTATCAAGCTCTCGAGAAGGAAAATTGGGATCGAGTTCTGTCTGCTAACAACCTGGATCAAGCGGTAGAGATACTCGAAGCCGTTATTTATAGGCATTTGAATAACTGTATGCCTCAGCGAACGGTCTCTGTGTCTACGCGGGAGCTACACTGGATGTCTCCTTTGGTCAAATCCTTGCTCAAAACGAAAGCTAAGGTTTCCATCTCCAATGCCGAACGCTTAAAGCATGTGAATTGTGAGTATCTCCTTGTCTCATGACTACACCAAATTGCCGACTACGCCTTTATTAACTGCTGAACCAGTATCTTTATAGTACAAATCATAATCTAATTTCAGTTAGTATCAGTACTTTTATATTCGTGCTGTATTACTTTGATATCACTTAGTACATGCAGTTTCACTGTTGTTGGTAATGGTACATAATCGTTTCTATGGTAATCAATACACTACATGAATGGTCGCGTCTCCTAACTTATTAGTGAGAACAGGTCGTATCTATTAGATAATCCGATAGGCAGCCAGAAGTAGTGGAGAAAGTTGATTCTTCATCACAGCGACGTGTAGCTACCGCCAGTGTTGCCCTAGACAGTGAGATTAGAGCAGTTAAACGACTCTGACCTCGGATCTCTATGTACCGACGACAGCTATATCGAGCCACTCGCAGCAACTATTGATAATAGTGTAGATGTTCCGGAAATCAGTGAACTGCAAGTCTAGCAGTCTTTATGCAAGTTAAAACGGACTGCTGTCGGTCCCGATAACATTCCATTTTGGATTTGGTAGGACCTCGCTGTTGTTACAAAGGTGTGGAATCTCTGCCTCCGTACCCAGCTCGGTCATGAAAAAGAGCGACTGTCCATCCTCTCCCTAAAGTTGAGCTTCCTACTGAAGACAAAGACTATCGTGGAATTAACATAAGGCCTGTCATAGCGAATGCATTTGAAAAGGCAATTTACACAGATCATGCGAAAGATATCGTAAAACAGAATCTCAACTCAAGCCAATTCGCTTATAGGGACGGAGGAAATTGTGCGAATGCCTTGCTGGCTATTCAGCACACTGTATACAACTACTTAGATGAACCGGAAGGCGAAGCTGTATGCCTCTTTACTATGGACTTTAGTAAGGCTTTTGACCATGTCAAGCACTCATTACTATCCGGAAAACTGAAAAACTTCCTCTGAATCCCTATTTTATCATTCTCTATCTGGATTTTCTAAAACATAGGCTACAAAGAGTCGTCCGTAATACCTTTTCAGGGCAATGGAAGGAGGTCAATTAAGGCACTACCCAGGGCAGTGTCAACGGTCCCCACCTATTTATTATTTTTCTAAACGACTTCATGATTGAAAATGGCTCTACAACTTATTTGCATGATATACGGACGACTCCACCATAATTGCAACAGTGTGGAGGGATACGGACGGTTCGAACGAGTTAGTGATGCAGTTCTTAGAATGGTCCAAAAACAACTGTATATACCTGTTATCCTAGTAAGTGTAAAGAACTTGCCTTTACGAAAAAAGGCAATGCATAGATCTTTGATAGAGTAGCTGGAATACCTCAGGTCAAGGATCTTGTTTTGCTTGGTGTTACTTTTCAGTCCGACACCAGATTTAACATTCAAGTAAAAAATGAAACCAAAAAGCAAACAAGTCTCCCCACGTGCCCAGGACGCCTTGAAGAGAGGGTACAATCAGAAAGAAATTGACTACCTATTCAATTCTATAGTACTACCTAACATCTCATACGGGCTTGCAGTGTGTGGAGCGGCTAAAGCTGAACGACCAACGATCCAGCGTTTTCTGGATAGATGTAAGAAGCGTAGGTACATCTTGCATAGCATTGATATCCACGATCTTTCAGAAAAACACGATAAAAAAATACGCACTAAAGTTATTGGCTTAGAGGGTCACGTCACCCACTTTATGACATGTTACCACCTTAGACGAAAATCAACAGTGAAACCTACAGTAAACACGACGCGCTTTATGTGTTCTTTTGCCAACCGCCAAATTTTTAAAGACGAGTTATTAGATTTTAATTGCCATTTCACGTACCTTAGCTTGCTTTTTACATTAACAATTTTGTAACATGGGATATGTATGTTTATCTTATGAAAAAAAGACCTATGATTATTATTATTTATTATTATTATTATTATTATATACCTGGATTTTTGAAAACCGGGTTGGCAAAAATATCAACTCATTCTACTACTTGGCAATTTAAAACAATAACACTCATTCAAAGACCGATTAAAAGCCTTTATCTGACGCCGGGCAGTAAGTTAATGGTCCATATAGAAGCATTCCAACGACTCCAAATTTAAAATGACGCAAATTTTAGAACATTTATTCAGTAAACTGACTTCGCGAAGTTTCAAACCGGTGTCATTTCAGTCTAGAAAATTTTTCATTAGCAAAACACTACTTTTTTCGCGGTTCGACAAGGGCACCCAACGACAATTTTCGGAAAATATCTGTTCGGAAGACGATTTGAGACCTAGAATTTTCGGAACATTTGTTGTAAAATTTCTTGCTTGCCTGCATCTCCTAGGATTTTCGAACATCTAAAAATGGTATAATTGCCCATTTTTGACGGATTTTTACCCTTAAAAGGTCACCTAGAATTTTCGGGACCCTTTTTTCTGGCTGAAATTTTCGAAAAGGTAAGTTTTGATCCCTATAATTTTCGGATCACTAGACTTTCAGCTAGGAAATCCGAACAGGTGAAAAATTTTTAGGGGATAAAAATATGCCTATATCTACCGTTTAAAAACTAAAATACGTCAATAACAATACTATGTTTAAGTGGTTTTGAACTATATTCTCGTTGGGTGCCCCTGGTTCGATAAACAACAGGGTTCCGAGTGGAATAGACAACAAACTGAATGAAACGTAGTGCACAAATTATCACTTTCTTATCTGCAAAAATCGGCCTATGGTTTGACAATGCAATTAGAGCCCGCTGAAACAAGACCTAGATCCAATTTTCCTGATTCGAAAGTCGCTTTTCCAAGGTACAATCACCTAAGCTAAACATAGCCTGCGAACAGCAGACGCATTTCCGGTCGTCGCTTGATCTCTCCCTCTGAAAAATAGCCATGGTCTTGCCGGATCACAAAGTGGCAAGAGTGTTAACAAAACAGTCCAAACACTGTTAAAGTTATTAAAAACCTATAACCAAGGAAGGAAATACGCGCTCCAGTCAAAAGACTCACAGTTTCTTTAGAAAAACACTAAGCTGGAATCTACTAAGTCACAATGCAATTCTCCATAGTTGTTGCAGCTTCATCTTACGTTAGGATACTAACGAGGATGATGATTTGAATGGAGGAAGTACAAAAATTTTTATGAACAAATGGTCGTCGCAGTTGTGCCGATACTTCATTTGAAATTGCCTTAATTCAGTTGCTATCACAACTGCGACGATCATGTCTTATTTGATAAATCCAGGATAAGACCGGATGACAGCATTTATTTTTCCAGACCTGAAATATGCTGTGGTCACATTTGAGTATTGTTTGAAAGGATCCATCATTGCATTTTGTGGGCTGCCCTTTTTATGGTTTCTGAATTTAAGAAATTTCAAGGATCAGCTATGTTATAATTCTTTAGGACTCTAGGAACACCTTGCTTTGAAAAAACAGGGGCACCCAACGAGGATATAGTTCAAAACCACTTAGCATAGCATTGTTGAACGTATTTTAGTATTCAAACGGTAGATATAGGCATATTTTTATCCCCTAAAAACTTTTCATCTGTTCGATTTCCTAGCTGAAAATCTAGTGATCAGAAAATTATAGGGATAAAAACTTACCTTCGCGAAAATTTCAGCCAGGAAAAGGCTCCCGAAAATTCTAGGTGGCCTTTTTTTATGGTCAAAATCCGTTAAAAATGAGTAATTATACCATTTTGTAGATGTTCGAAAATCCTAGGAGAGGCAGGCAAGCAAGAAATTTTACAACAAATGCTCCGAAAACTCTTGATCTCAAATCGTCTTCCGAACAGATATTTTCCAGAAAATTGCCGTTGGGTGCCCCTGAAAAAAGGAGCCTAAAATAACGGTTCAGAACCGACCAAAAAATATTAAATTGGACACCTTTACCTAAATTATTGTACTGTCGAAAAATTAAACTGACAAAAATAATAACAATGCTTTGTCGTTTTCCCCCTGAAACAATCGCCAGATATATTATATATTTTTTAGAGTTCCAACTATTGACCCGATATAATTGTGGTGGTGAAACCGCAAAGTCTTTAGTTCAGACTCAAGAGTCGCGAAACGTAATGGAATGTTCAGATGGACGAATTCGGGGAGTTAAAGAGAAAGGCAGTTTATAATCCCACGAAAGGTACCGTGTTGTTAAGGCTCAATAGGGAAAATAAGCGAGGCGATCATGACATTAAACCAATTGAAAATAACAGTGGATTCTCCTGGACTTTATTTTTAGCAGATACAGACTTGATAGCAAACGTTGTTTTACACACCTCATTACCCAGTAAAGACATAATACAAGTCTAACACGCTTCTATTTTAAAACGTCCAGCTCATCATATGACACGTGCTTACTGTTGAGCTTTCGGTACTTCTTCAATGAAGATGCGATTCATTGAATGCCAACCAGTGTGTGCGTCAGCAAGCTTATGTCCTGTGACGCATTTTCCAACCGAGAATCCCACTCGCACCTTTCCTTTCTGAATGTTGTTGCAGTGACCTTCAATGTGGCGGTGACGGAGAAGATTTTGGCTTTTGCCTGTTTGCATGTAGAATGCACCGTCAATAGTTCCAGGAGAGCTGCACTCGGCTCCATTAAAGGTGAAATACCAGCGACTACAGCAGCTGTCACATCCGCTAACCCTGAGGTTACCAGCAAAGTAGACATGGAGGGCAGTGTCCGCGTATTTCTTCACAAAGTCACAGTTCTAAACGGGATATAAAGAAACAGCATACGTATTGTAGTTTATTTTTATTTACTCCAGTCTATAAAAAAATAATACATCAGTTGTACAATATTAATTAACACAAGGTGTTTCGACAAAAAAAAAAATTCATGTACATAAGAGTAGCGAGAAAGTTAAGAATGGAGAAGGACACAGTGTAATAAAACCGATTATGGCCCGGCTTTAACAGAAAACTACGTAGCTTCAAAAGAAGCAGCCGTCATCATCGCTGACCGCGCGCTGACTTCAGAATTATAGCAATCAATCATTTCAGTAAAAATTAATTACTTTGAGCTAATAGAATATTATTTAACTCGGATAACAAAGTGACGTTCCGTACTTACATATATCAGTCCTGAATCTGTGCCGTCTTCCTTTTTCCAAGCACACTCTTTCCAGTTCATGTGTGAAGCCAGTCGTGGCGTTCCACTGTCGCCTTTGTCCCCTCGCTCTCCTTTTTGTCCGGCGGAACCCTGGATCCCAGACTCTCCTTTTGCTCCTTTCTTTCCATCAGCACCACGTGGTCCCTGGGTCCCAGTTTTCCCCGGGCTGCCCAGGTCTCCTTTGGCTCCATCTCGACCAGGTGCCCCAGGGGCTCCTGGGATGCATGTCATGTATGTCCACATCCCGGTTTGTCCGCCATTATTACAGGATGGACAAGATTGAAGAGGCTGCCAAAAAGAGAAAAAAGTCAGCGACAAACTGCTGTAGCTCTTCACAATTTTACCTGTCATCTAGCCTTTCACTTCAGGCGAGGAGGTAGTTCCGGAATTTTCCAAGTTTTAATTTTTTTTTTTTTTAACGAAATCGTCAATTGTGATTTTGTAAGAAGAAATTTATTTTCCAGTAAAGAAGCTGTTTTATAATTTGTAAAAATGTTAATTTTGATTGTTTAAAACGTGAAAATGTTCTCTCTCAAGTTGTACAAGTAATCATACCATCTTATTTTTCGTCTGAATTTGGTAGTCTTCTTAATCAACCTGCAGACTGATTTGGTTAAATTAACATATAATGGGTCATTCCTAATTGTCTCTAGAAACTAACATTATTTAACTGTAATAAAAAAATGTGTAGTGGCAATATCTGATATATGTATAAATGCAGTTACCTTGGTGTCTGGTGGTTTGTTGTCCTTAGCAGAGCAGAGACCAGTGAGCCAAAATATCAGTACAAGCAACATGGTGGTCACTTTAACTCGTGATCGCATCATCAAGGTCCGGCTAACTTGTGCACTAGAATTAAAGTTTGATCATGATATGAAATATCCTGAGTAGGTCAAAGGAAAACTCAATGAATATAATCAACACAGCAATTATTGAATGAGGCTGAGTAGGAGATCGAATAGGATGTTATGTACCTAGACTAAAGGCTCTAATCGCTCCCCCCCACCCACCCCCCCCCCCCCCACCCCCCACCCCCACACACCCCACCCCCCCCCCACCAACCACCCCAACCCAAATCCCACACCATACAACTGATATCACCAACACCACCCAGACTACAACAACAACAACANTGGTCAAGCCGCAAGGATGTTTATTCACGAGTGAACTAAAAGAAAGAAATGCCTTTCAAGAATATCCAAAAACAAAATAGCTGATTTCTAACTAAATCTGAACGGGAGTATTATAAAAATGCGCTAAACATATCACTCGATGATTTTTATCTACTTTCTAAGGAGTATCTGCAAGGACAAACATCTGTACCGTACTGAGAAATAGGCCAATAGGTTTGGAAAAAACAGGAGGTAATCTTGTTCAGAATTCAGAAATATTTTGAATGAATAATAATATACTTTATATGTAAGATATGACTTGGAAAAATGAACGGTTTAAATAATGCAATGGAATCTCGATGAGTGTTACAGCGTATTTTGAAGTCAACTTACCTCTAAGTTCGTTTTACGACTGCCAAAGCCAAATGATAGCAATGATTATTGTTACCGGTTAATTTATTTCCGCTATTGCAATAATTACTTAACTTTTCAAGTTTTTAAAACAAGTTTTAACGACATCATGCCCCAATCATTACATCTCACGACTAAAAGACGTCGAGCATTTTGATTGGTTCTTTTGGCTTAACTTGAGGAAATTCGTGTTTTGTGTTTTTAGGGAACTGAGTTCCTGTACATGCAGATCATGCTATTGGTCCATGGTCGAGAATCTACCAGCCAGAACATCATTTATTATATTTATTAAAATATTATTATGTGTAAGATCTATCCCTTGGTATAGCTCAAGTTCGTCCTTTAACAGCCGAGCAATCTTTTGTAGCAGTGTTGTTAGTAGCTTCACTAGGATGCATGGCCGTCAACTCATCACCTTTTTGGACAGTGGGGAAAAAATTAAGCCAAGGACAGATTGCAAAACTGAAGATTTACAAGTACATTTATAAGTTCTTTCGTCGTTCATTCTGTATCCAGAATAAAGCACAGAATTTATCCACATCCAAATTTGAAAATTTCTCTTTGAGGAGGTCAACACAACAGTATATCCAAATAAGTAACGTTGCAATCATTCTCAACTATATTCGTGCAGAATTGTTTGATAAAGACGCGTAACATGAATCATGTTTTATACTATCAGTGGAATCTGAAAATCCTCTCTTTTTTTACCGTAAATGGTAAATGATTGTTAAATACAGCTTATTAATAATTTTACCCGCTTAGATCTGTCTGTGCATTATATATTAAAGAGTCATTCCTACCCTCACTGATCCATTTACTTGGCCGAATATGTTTTAGAAATAACATTGATTACTACGGGCCGGAGGAGATACGAGAACGCTTGGCGCATATATGATTTACCTTGTTTGCCATGGTGATCTGTCTTCATGAAAGTTATGACAACTGGAAGAAAGAAGAAATAAAGAAACATTCAATCAAAAAGCAATTAATTTAAATATAGCTAGAGAAAAACAAGAAAGCTTCGAGCACTGTACATACCAACACTCTGCTAGGGATTGAATCATAGAATTTCCTTGTTTGAATAAGTTTCTCGTCAAAACATGCTCAAGCTAAACAGCCTACGTATGTCTCCTAATTTCAATTCAACAATTTCATTCGCTTGCGAAAATATCAGGTTGCAAATCATGCGCCCAATGAAAGGCCTACTGTACACATGTTTTCCTTCAACATCATTGTAACCAACAGATCATAACTTTTACTAGAAATAAATTGATGTTGATCTTGCTTTTTTTTAATCCAGGTGCGATTATTCATATATAACCCAAGATATAACTGTACAATTGAAAGAAACGTTGCAGTCTGAGATATCGAGAGATGATATCAAATAGTGAAATTATTTCCCTAAACTGACCTCTACTTGAAAGAGCGGTACATTATTATCCTCATAATTTTAAACTCGATCTCTTCCCGTCTTAGTGGCCATCATCCATTCTGGTCCATTCTAATTCCAACCAGTAAATAATCTCAGTGTAGAAAGTTAACTTTAAGGATCTTACACAGTCGCTCGATGATTCACCATTTGTAGTGGCGTGTATCAGTTCATGCTTCGTGCTTCATGTTCAAGAACTTACTAATGACTTTTTTATTTCTTCAGACGTACTAAATAAGTCCTCCCAGAAAACAAAACGTTTCTGTATTTTCAAAATTCTTAACTCACTTTCTGTCAGTTTTGGCTTAAATCATGATTTAAACAACTGTAAATATGGTCAGTTAAGAAATAAGTTCCATCGGCTTTTTTAATATCTCAGGGGCACCCAACGAGAATATAGTTCAAAACCACTTAAACATAGCATTGTTAAACGTGTTTTAGTATTTAAAAGATGGATATGGGCATATTTTTATCCCCTATAAATTTTTTATCTGTTCGGATTTCCTAGCTGAAAGTCTAGTGATCCGAAAATTATAGGGATAAAACTTACCTGTTCGAAAATTTCAGCCAGAAAAAAGGCTCCCGAAAATTCTAGGTCACCTTTTTAGGGTAAAAATCCGTTGAAAATGGTCAATTTTACCATATTTTATATGTTCAAAAATCCTAGGGGAGGCAGGCAAGCAAGAAATTTTACAACAAATGTTCCGAAAATTATAGATCTCAAATCGTCTTCCGAACAGATATTTTCCAGAAAATTGTCGTTGGGTGCCCCTGATATCTGTACGAAGAGTGTGATGCTGTGCAAAGAACCATTATCTTTGTTGAACATCTTTATCAAGTATCAAGTAAGATTTTGGCTTTGTAGCTCGATAAATTAACAAGCTTGTCGAGTTGTAAAAATGAACAAAGTTTTGTTTCAAATCGCTGTATTACTCTAAACGTCACTTGTATTTAGTTACGGAGCTGATGTGTTGCTTTGTTGAACACAATCTATTATTATTATTTTATTGGTCGTGTTTATCAGTTGTTGTAGATATCAGTTTTCTTTAAATTCACTATTTCGAATTTATCATTTACGACCACCGTTTTAGCCATTTGTCTGATTAACAATACTTGATCAAAACTATTTTTAATTATGACTCACGTTCGAATAAACGCCCTGACTCGATACGGCCGCGCTGATTCTCTTCTCAATGCTCTGACTAGATAGTCCTCGATGTTAGCAAAGTGTTTCATTTAGCCTTAACTTCTACTGTCCATGGTCATACATGTATCTAGCAAACAAACACTGAACAAAAATTGGCGTGGGAAGGATCATCCACTACGGCTAGAGTACATACATGTATGCATGCCGAGTTACTATTACATGTAATGTTTCCAAAGTAGGGAATTCGAAACGATCCTATTATATATATAGGTCATATTTGGATTTGGGATTTTTTTTTTGCCTATTCACTGTTTTTACTGAATAAATTGTGAAAAGACTCAATTTCGTGGGACTTTTCTCCGATGCTCGGAAAATTCGAGGTGAACTCGCAATGAAACAACAAAACTGCAAGAGAACATGTTCTCCTGTCATACTGTTAATAGAATCATTCTTGGGAAGATTTGTATATTGAATGTATGGTACTCATCTGTTAATTTCTTGCTCGCCTTTGGAAATCATGTATGGAAGCCTTTAGTTTTGGAATTGGGAAATGACTTCATTCAATTGCTTATTCTTTGTTCTTCTTATTGAATTAACTCTCAGTTAGCTTTGTATAATAGATTACATTCTCTTTTGATATCAAAGCTTACGATTTTTTCTACAGCTTATCAATTTAGACAGCTTTACCATAACGAAAACTAAATTAAGGCCCACATTGAAGAGCTTACGCATAACAGGGAGACCAGAATTAGTTTTGGCGCATATGGTCGCCAATGATAGGCTGGGGATTTTGAAACTTATGGTGTGGACTGAAACTATGTTTTGAAATTGTGTAACCTCAAAAATAGTGAGTTTGAAAATTGATTAAGTGTTATTAAATTTAACCTAACAATTACTGAAATATCTAGAATATTTCTTCAGTGTATACTGATTTAGGTCATTTAGAGCTGTCAAAGCCGTTGGTGGAAATTTAGTGTAATTTTATGCTTTCAAATTTGGTGAGTACAAAAACAGAATAATTTTGGAAATCGCCTTGGGATTCCAAGAAACATCGAATAATCACAGACGATTTACAGAAAAACCTTGAATGGACCTTACTCGTCAAGATGGCGTCGAAAACCGTGACAGGCAAACGCTTGAGAAATTACAGTCTTTGTATGAGAATCTAATGTCGAATAATTTCCGTAAAACGGCTGTTCTAAAATAAATATCAATAGTAAACTAAAGCTACCAAACAAAGGATTGTACTAAAAAATTTTGGGGGTGTACCTGTGCTTAAAAAGTGGTTGTAGGTCTTCTAGCATGTAACGCCCTCAATTTTTTCAGTAGAATCGTGTGGAATAAAGCATTAGTTTAAAATTCATGTTTTTTTCAAAACAGCCGTTCTACGGAGATTATTCGACATAAGATTCTAATACAAACACTGTAATTTCTCACGCGTTTCCCCATTCGTCAAGATAGCGTCGAAAACCGTGACAAGGTCTAAATTAAGGAACAATAATCGGTTCCTGACAGGAGTTAGATCAATGTATTAGTGACCAAACCGGAAAATCTTATTGACCGCATCGACATAAATTCAAAAACATTTTATAGTTCCCTTGAAAAGGTAAGTAAATAAAATGATAATTTGAATTTCGGTTCACGCTATTTTGTTGAATAAAATTAGATCGACGATGGTGATAAATTAAGGTATTTTCTCCAAAAAAATGTTGTTACCGGTAAAATTGATGTCAGTTGTCTTTTTTACAGTATTATCCACAGTATTCCAAAGAAAATAATTTTTTGATTCATCCAAAATTTTCCTTAATTGACTAAATTTGTTCTTGTTTTGTCCTGTTTACCTTGATCAATGCTCGATATCTTATGTTTCCTTCCTGGCTGTCTCCTCTTAGTCCAAATCTTGTCTCACGAAATCTTTACACCAACATTGGGAGGACATCAGCGGAAAACAACAATTGACTGAGATTGTAGTTCTCAATGTTTGCGCGGTGGTCTAGGCCTACATTGTAAACCCTATTCTCCATGACCATATCTACTGGATAAAAAAAAAAAGTTTAAACAAATTTTGTGCAAAGGAAGCTAGAGCACTGTTGTAGATGTTAAATATCGAATATTGACGGAACATTTTTACACGGAGCACTTACAAATTTTCTGCGGGGAATCCTAGCTTTTCACAAGAACGATACTCGTTTGCTCGCGATTTATATCAGTTAAATTTAAGCGACAAAACAAGAAAGACTTGTAACCAAGTCAACATAATATTAACTCACTGGGCAGCTAAATAAAATTAAAAATATGACTGTCTGTTACTCTGTACTATTGTTAAAGAAAACAAAAAAATTGATAAAATTGAACGGCAACGGTGAAAAAGGCGTCCTTACCCGTAAAATTGATATCAAAAGTCTAATCATTAATTGACAACGTTAACAGCATTACTCGACAGAGAATAACTTGGTGTGCATGTATTTAATTTAACCAAAATTTTGTTAGCAGTTTACCTTAATTACATGACTGTTTATCAATAAAAAACTAATTGTTAATGGAATTACACTATTTTTGCCGTTTTAAAGTAAGGCGAAAGAGCTTACCGTTTGACGTCTCTTTTGACATACTGAGGCATGGGGGTTCTGGACTGAAGAAAATATGTAAAAATAAATCAAGTGTTACAGGGTAATGAAATCAAGTATTCACTAAACATTCCAACAGAGAGCACGATAAAACAAATATTTACAATTTCTCCTGGTTTCCAACCACTGTTCAGTTAGTCTACCCATTAAAAACTGTATTGAAAAATTATTTTTCTTGCAGGTACAACTTTTTTTAATAGTCGTAGCTTCGTATCTACAGCTGTATCTACCATAAATTGGGTAATTAAATTGTATCTGCTGTTTGGTCTCAATTAATGTTCACGCCCGAATAGGTTTGAAGAACAGAGAGTTAATACATTTTAATAGGTTTCTCAGTTTCTAAAAATACAGCTTGTTATTCGCTATCTCAGATTACTTGTTATATTCTGATTTGTCCAATAGCAGAAAGCCATATATCTTGAAATAGTTTGGTCACGCTTTCTTTCTTGGGAGATTTATTTGCGTCACCATGAAGTGGAGAGCGGGGATATTTACCGTACTCATAAGTTAGTGTATTTTTTAGACCACAGGTGTCCCAAGCTCACCTTACGAGTGTGGAATGTACTTATGTTGTTAACGAACACTCTTTTGAGTTTGGTGAGATCGTTTCTATAAAATAAAAAAACACATTTGTATAACGTAATCAGCACTGATTAATAGGCACAGCAGACTGCACAAAACCGAGAACCAAATTAATGGTTTATAACTCGGTCGGATATCATTCTGTTTGTTATATCTTTTTGTTTACTATATCCTTAGCTTTATATAAAACAAAGCAACAAAATGTACGTATTAAAAGCGTCGCTCCATTAGCGTCACGGCAAAATTTTCTTATTTTAAAATCATACTGGTACATGACATTACTGGAGTGTCCAACCGTTCGAAACAGTTGACAGACTTGGCACATGTTGTTGTCAGTTTCCCCTAGGGGTAAATTGATCGTAAGTGTTATTTTAAACAATGTAAATTCATCATTTGCTCCACTCGATTTCGCCTGTCTAGAACTTCTATTGTTGATTTCCACTGGTTTTCACTATACATTCACTATATGGTGCGGATGTTAGTAAAAAAATGCGCTGAAAATTAAGGAAATTGATTTGACAACTGTGAACTGAAGGACTGTTATAGTGTTTACCGCTAGAAAGCAACAGGAGCCGTTAAATTAAATCTAATCATTTTTGAAAATGCATCTAAGGAATGAGAAAGTATCTGACTACCTGTTATCCTAGTAAGTGTAAAGAACTTGCCTTTACGAAAAAAGGCAATGCATAGATCTTTGATAGAGTAGCTGGAATACCTCAGGTCAAGGATCTTGTTTTGCTTGGTGTTACTTTTCAGTCCGACACCAGATTTAACATTCAAGTAAAAAATGAAACCAAAAAGCAAACAAGTCTCCCCACGTGCCCAGGACGCCTTGAAGAGAGGGTACAATCAGAAAGAAATTGACTACCTATTCAATTCTATAGTACTACCTAACATCTCATACGGGCTTGCAGTGTGTGGAGCGGCTAAAGCTGAACGACCAACGATCCAGCGTTTTCTGGATAGATGTAAGAAGCGTAGGTACATCTTGCATAGCATTGATATCCACGATCTTTCAGAAAAACACGATAAAAAAATACGCACTAAAGTTATTGGCTTAGAGGGTCACGTCACCCACTTTATGACATGTTACCACCTTAGACGAAAATCAACAGTGAAACCTACAGTAAACACGACGCGCTTTATGTGTTCTTTTGCCAACCGCCAAATTTTTAAAGACGAGTTATTAGATTTTAATTGCCATTTCACGTACCTTAGCTTGCTTTTTACATTAACAATTTTGTAACATGGGATATGTATGTTTATCTTATGAAAAAAAGACCTATGATTATTATTATTTATTATTATTATTATTATTATATACCTGGATTTTTGAAAACCGGGTTGGCAAAAATATCAACTCATTCTACTACTTGGCAATTTAAAACAATAACACTCATTCAAAGACCGATTAAAAGCCTTTATCTGACGCCGGGCAGTAAGTTAATGGTCCATATAGAAGCATTCCAACGACTCCAAATTTAAAATGACGCAAATTTTAGAACATTTATTCAGTAAACTGACTTCGCGAAGTTTCAAACCGGTGTCATTTCAGTCTAGAAAATTTTTCATTAGCAAAACACTACTTTTTTCGCGGTTCGACAAGGGCACCCAACGACAATTTTCGGAAAATATCTGTTCGGAAGACGATTTGAGACCTAGAATTTTCGGAACATTTGTTGTAAAATTTCTTGCTTGCCTGCATCTCCTAGGATTTTCGAACATCTAAAAATGGTATAATTGCCCATTTTTGACGGATTTTTACCCTTAAAAGGTCACCTAGAATTTTCGGGACCCTTTTTTCTGGCTGAAATTTTCGAAAAGGTAAGTTTTGATCCCTATAATTTTCGGATCACTAGACTTTCAGCTAGGAAATCCGAACAGGTGAAAAATTTTTAGGGGATAAAAATATGCCTATATCTACCGTTTAAAAACTAAAATACGTCAATAACAATACTATGTTTAAGTGGTTTTGAACTATATTCTCGTTGGGTGCCCCTGGTTCGATAAACAACAGGGTTCCGAGTGGAATAGACAACAAACTGAATGAAACGTAGTGCACAAATTATCACTTTCTTATCTGCAAAAATCGGCCTATGGTTTGACAATGCAATTAGAGCCCGCTGAAACAAGACCTAGATCCAATTTTCCTGATTCGAAAGTCGCTTTTCCAAGGTACAATCACCTAAGCTAAACATAGCCTGCGAACAGCAGACGCATTTCCGGTCGTCGCTTGATCTCTCCCTCTGAAAAATAGCCATGGTCTTGCCGGATCACAAAGTGGCAAGAGTGTTAACAAAACAGTCCAAACACTGTTAAAGTTATTAAAAACCTATAACCAAGGAAGGAAATACGCGCTCCAGTCAAAAGACTCACAGTTTCTTTAGAAAAACACTAAGCTGGAATCTACTAAGTCACAATGCAATTCTCCATAGTTGTTGCAGCTTCATCTTACGTTAGGATACTAACGAGGATGATGATTTGAATGGAGGAAGTACAAAAATTTTTATGAACAAATGGTCGTCGCAGTTGTGCCGATACTTCATTTGAAATTGCCTTAATTCAGTTGCTATCACAACTGCGACGATCATGTCTTATTTGATAAATCCAGGATAAGACCGGATGACAGCATTTATTTTTCCAGACCTGAAATATGCTGTGGTCACATTTGAGTATTGTTTGAAAGGATCCATCATTGCATTTTGTGGGCTGCCCTTTTTATGGTTTCTGAATTTAAGAAATTTCAAGGATCAGCTATGTTATAATTCTTTAGGACTCTAGGAACACCTTGCTTTGAAAAAACAGGGGCACCCAACGAGGATATAGTTCAAAACCACTTAGCATAGCATTGTTGAACGTATTTTAGTATTCAAACGGTAGATATAGGCATATTTTTATCCCCTAAAAACTTTTCATCTGTTNAGCCCGCTGAAACAAGACCTAGATCCAATTTTCCTGATTCGAAAGTCGCTTTTCCAAGGTACAATCACCTAAGCTAAACATAGCCTGCGAACAGCAGACGCATTTCCGGTCGTCGCTTGATCTCTCCCTCTGAAAAATAGCCATGGTCTTGCCGGATCACAAAGTGGCAAGAGTGTTAACAAAACAGTCCAAACACTGTTAAAGTTATTAAAAACCTATAACCAAGGAAGGAAATACGCGCTCCAGTCAAAAGACTCATAGTTTCTTTAGAAAAACACTAAGCTGGAATCTACTAAGTCACAATGCAATTCTCCATAGTTGTTGCAGCTTCATTTTAAGTTAGGATACTAATGAAGATGATGATTTGAATGAAGGAAGTACACAAATTTTTGTGAACAAATTGTCGTCGCAGTTGTGCCAATACTTCATTTGAAATTGCCTTAATTCAGTTGCTATCACAACTGCGACGATCATGTCTTATTTGATAAATCCAGGATAAGACCGGATGACAGCATTTATTTTTCCAGACCTGAAATATGCTGTCGGGTCACATTTGAGTATTGTTTGAAAGGATCCATCATTGCATTTTGTGGGCTGCCCTTTTTATGGTTTCTGAATTTAAGAAATTTCAAGGATCAGCTATGTTATAATTCTTTAGGACTCTAGGAACACCTTGCTTTGAAAAAATAGGGGCACCTAACGAGGATATAGTTCAAAACCACTTAACACAGCATTGTTGAACGTATTTTAGTATTCAAACGGTAGATATAGGCATATTTTTATCCCCTAAAAACTTTTCATCTGTTCGGATTTCCTAGCTGAAAATCTAGTGATCCGAAAATTATAGGGATAAAAACTTACCTTCTCGAAAATTTCAGCCAGGAAAAAGCTCCCGAAAATTCCAGGTGGCCTTTTTTAGGGTCAAAATCCGTTAAAAATGAGTAATTATACCATTTTGTAGATGTTCGAAAATCCTAGGAGATGCAGGCAAGCAAGAAATTTTACAACAAATGCTCCGAAAATTCTAAATCTCAAATCGTCTTCGGAACAGATATTTTCCCGAAAATTGCCGTTGGGTGCCCCTGAACTGAAAAGAAGCCTAAAATAACGGTTCAGAACCGACCAAAAAAAATTAAATTGATTACCTTTACCTAAATTATTGTACTGTCGAAAAATTAAACTGACAAAAATAATAACAATACTTTGTCGTTTTCCCCCTGGAACAATCGCCAGGTATATTATATATTTTTTAGAGTTCCAACTATTGACCCGATATAATTGTGGTGGTGACCCCTCAAAGTCTTTAGTTCAGACTCAAGAGTCGCGAAACGTAATGGAATGTTCAGATGGACGAATTCAGGGAGTTAAAGAGAAAGGCAGTTTATAATCCCACGAAAGGTACCGTGTTGTTAAGACTCAATAGGGAAAATAAGCGAGGCAACCATGACATTAAACCAATTGAAAATAACAGTGGATTCTCCTGGACTTTATTTTTAGCAGATACAGACTTGATAGCAAACGTTGTTTTACACACCTCATTACCCAGTCAAGATATAACACAAGTATAACACGCTTCTATTTTAAAAAGTCCAGCTCAAAAAGATATCATATGACACGTGCTCACTGCTGAGCTTTCGGTACTTCTTCAATAAAGATGCGATTCATTGAATGCCAACCAGTGTATGCGTCAGCAAGCTTATGGTTTGTGACGCATTTTCCAACCGAGAATCCCACTCGCACCTTTCCTTTCTGAATGTTGTTGCAGTGACCTTCAATGTGGCGTTGACGGTGAAGATTGTGGTTTCTGCCTGTTCGCATGTAGAATGCACCGTCAATAGTTCCAGGAGAGCTGCACTCGGTTCCATTAAAGCTGAAATACCAGCGACTACAGCAGTCGTCACATCCGTAAATCCTGAGGTTACCAGCATAGTAGACATGGAGGGCAGTGTCCGCGTATTTCTTCACAAAGTCACAGTTCTAAACGAGATATAAAGAAACAGAATCCGTATTGTAGTTCATTTTTATTTACTCCAATCTATAAAAAAAAGACATCAGTTGTACAATATTAATTAATTGTTTCGACGAAAAAAAAATCATGTACATAAGATTAGCAAGAAAATTAAGAATGGAGAAGGACACAGTGTAATAAAACCGATTCATTATGGCCTGGCTTTAACAGAAAACTACGTAGCTTCAAAAGATTAGCAGCCATCATCATCGCTGACCGCGCGCTGACTTCAGAATTATAGCAATCAATTATTTCAGTAAAAATTAATTACTTTGAGCTAATAGAATATTATTTAACTTGGGTAACAAAGTGACGTTCAGTACTTACATATATCAGTCCTGAATCTGTGCCGTCTCCCTTTTTCCAAGCACACTCTTTCCAGTTCATGTGTGAAGCCAGTCGTGGCGTTCCAATGTCGCCTTTGTCTCCTTTGGCTCCATCTCGACCAGGTGCCCCAGGGGCTCCTGGGATGCATGTCATGTATGTCCACATCCCAGTTTGTCCGCCATTATTACAGGATGGACAAGACTGAACAGGCTGCCAAATAGAGAAAAAAGTCAGTGAAATACTGCTATTAAAAAAAGCTCTTCACAATTTTACCTGTCATGTAGCGTTTCAATTCAGGCGAGGAAGTAGTTCCTTAATTTTCCAAGTTTTAATTGTTTTTTTTTTTTTAACGAAATCGTCAATTGTGATTTTGTAAGAAGAAATTGTTTGATAATTTGTAAAAATGTTAATTTTGATTGTTTTTTTTTTTTTTTTTTAACGAAATCGTCAATTGTGATTTTGTAAGAAGAAATTGTTTGATAATTTGTAAAAATGTTAATTTTGATTGTTTAAAACGTGAAAATGTTCTCTCTCAAGTTGTAAAAGTAATCATACCATCTTATTTTTTGTCTGAATTTTCTTAATCAACCTGCAGACTGATTTAGTTAAATTAACATATAATGGGTCATTCCTAGTTGTCTCTATACGATGAACTAACATTATTTAACTGTAATATAAAAAATGTGTAGTGGCAATATCTGATATATGTATAACTGCAGTAACCTTGGTGTCTGCTGGTTTGTTGTCCTTAGCAGAGCAGAGACCAGTGAGGGAAAATATCAGTACAAGCAACATGGTGGTCACTTTAACTCGTGATCGCATCATCAAGGTCCTCTAACTTGTGCACTAGAGAATTAAAGTTTGATCATGATATGAAATATCGTGAGTAGGTCAAAGGAAAACTCAACAAATATGATTAACAC